AGAGTAGAGTAGAGTAGAGTAGAGTAGAGTAGAGTAGAGTAGAGTAGAGTAGAGTAGAGTAGAGTAGAGTAGAGTAGAGTAGAGTAGAAGTGGAGTGGAGTGGAATAGAGTAGAGTAGAGTAGAGTAGAAGTGGAGTAGAGTGGAGTGGAGTGGAGTGGAGTGGAGTGGAATAGAGTAGAGTAGAGTAGAGTAGAGTAGAGTAGAAGTGGAGTGGAATAGAGTAGAGTAGGAGGAGTGGAGTGGAGTGGAGTGGAATAGAGTAGAGTAGGAGTGGAGTGGAGTGGAGTGGAGTAAAGTAAAGTGGCGTAGAGTAGAGTAGAGTAGAAGTGGAGTGGAGTGGAGTGGAGTGGAGTGGAGTAGAGTAGAGTAGAGTAGAGTAGAGTAGAGTAGAGTAGAGTAGAAGTGGAGTGGAGTGGAGTGGAGTGGAATAGAATAGAAGTGGAGTGGAGTGGAGTGGAATGGAATAGAATAGAAGCTGGAAGGGACCTTGGAGGTCTTCTAGTCCAGCCCCCTGCTCAAGCAGAAGAATACCATCTCAGACAGGTGATTGTCCAGTCTTTTCTTAAAAACTTCCAAGGGAGAAGACTACTTTAACCTTCAAAAAAAAATTCTCTCTTCTACCATGCAGTACAGGTAGCCCTTAAAACACTTTGTTTAGTGACTGTTCAAAGTTACAACGGCACTGAAAAAAGTGACTTATGACCATTTTTCACCCTTACCACCATGGCGGCGTCCCCATGATCATGTGATCAAAACATGGACACTTGGCAACTATCCTCGCCTTTGTGACCGTCGCAGAGTCCCGGAGGTCACGAGATCCCCTTTTGCGACCTTCTGACAAGCAAAGTCAATGGGGGTGCTAGATTCACTTAACCCTGTTCCTAGCTGAGCAACTGCAGTGATTCACTTAACAACTGAGGCAAGAAAGGTCATAAACTGAGGCAAAACTCACTTAACAACCGTCCCGCTTAGCAACGGAAATTTGGGGCTTCAGTTGGGGTGGTGGGTTGAGAACTACCCGTAGTGATTGTAGAGAGCAGTTTTACCTCAGAAGCTCTTGTCCGTGGATCCCTTAAGGTAGAGGTCCCCAACCTTGGCAACTTTTAAGGCTTGTGGACTTCAACTCCCAGAATTCCTCAGCCAGCCAAGCTGGCTGAGGAATTCTGGGAGTTGAAGTCCACAAGCCTTAAAGTTGCCACGGTTGGAGACCCTTGCCCCGAGGAACACCGATTTTCAAAGCCCTGCTTTTTCCCTGCCTTGTGTCTCCATACCTGTTGATGCTCACAGCAGCAAACTGTTCTCCAATCTCTTCATCGACCGTCAAATGTGCTGGCTCCTCATTTCCTAGCTTGTAGATCCATTCCACTTTGTGGTCTTTAAGGATTATGCCCATGTAGTCCCCGGTAGCCTGGAAGTACAAAGAAGAAGAGTTTTGCCATCCACTGTGGGGCCCAGATAGTGTGGGTGAACCTGGTTTTTTTTGGGGGGGTTACATTGATTGTGAGATGTTGCAACTGTTCTGTGGTTGACGCTATCTTAGGTTTATTTATTTTTTTCCCTTTCATTTTCTTTCCTTATTTTATTTATTTCTTTTTTCTTTCTGAATTTTCTATAGGCGTTCCACTCAACAAAGCGACTCTGGAGGGCTGACAGTGCTAAAGCTATGAAACAATTAAAACAATGAAAGACAGTAAAACAGTAAAAAAAAACATCCAGAAAACAAATATATACAGCAGCCAAGATAATTAACCAAGTTAACAGCAAGGAAGCAAAAGCAGAAAACGGCAGAAGTAAACCACACCTGTATTTTAACATTATTCTAGTGCAGGGGTAGGCAACCTTGGCTCTTTTATGACTTGTGGACTTCAACTCCCAGAATTCCTGAGCCAGCCATGCTGAGGGGAAAGGGAGAGGTTTCCAAGCTGAGCCAGGCTGTTTTTGATCTACTGTAACCACTTGGCTTTTAGTAAAAGTATTCTTTTCACTACAAATGGAGTTGAGAATAGCAATAGCCCTTAGACTTATATACCGCTTCACAGTGCTTTACAGCCTCCTCTAAGCGGTTTACAGAGTCAGCATATGGCCCCCCAACAATCTGGGTCCTCATTTTACCGACCACGGAAGGATGGAAGGCTGAGTCAACCTTGAGATGGTGAGAATCGAACTGCCGAACTGCTGGCAGCCGGCAGTCAGCAGAAGTAGCCTGCAGTACTGCATTCTAACCACTGACTTTCCTAGATAGAAAACAGAGCTGGAGCAGGGCTGACATTCTCAAACAAATGTGAAAAACAAACTGTGCCTATACTTTCCACCCCAAACCTACTAGGTTGGTCTTTACTGGTTCTTGTTTTCTTTCCTGAGAACTTACATCCTTTTGTCCCAAGTATAACACAAAGCGTGTCGGCTCATCCTGTGGTTTGTCTCTCTTTTTGGAGTCCGGGTTCTGAATATAGAATTTGAGGGATGTGTAGGCAGCCAAATCTTGGAGATTGCTAGGTGTCCGGATTTGCACACCAGAAGTGCCATTGAACTTCACTGGGACTTTAATCTAAAAGGCAACAGATCAAAGGAACAAACATATGATACTGGACACTTCAGGGCTGGCACTGAAAAATACTGTAGTCTCAGCAGGATTCGCTATTTTGATACTATTTCGCCCTAAACTTCCTTTAAAAATCCCCACTTCCAACAAATCCTTCTTAATGATGACCTGAGGAGTAAGATTTTGTTTCTTTGAGTCAACTCCTTAATTGGCTTCATGAATTATGCTCATTTCTGTTCTTAAAGACTGATGGGGAAAAAATAATATACAGAGAGATCTTGTTGAATAACCACCCGTTTAGCAACCAGGGTTAAAATGGTGTTGAGTGAAGAGGACTTACAACTGCTCCTCATGGTTGTGGCCATCACAAACAACTCCACAGTCACACAATTGTGATTTGGGCACTGGGCAACTGGCTTGAAATTACGAGAGTCATAACATCAAGTGCCCAGGCGATCTCCATGTGAAATTTTTCCTGTGGTCTCTAAATGGACAAGCTGGCAGGGGGCCACAAATGGTGATCACGCAACCATGGAACATCGGGACTGTGTGAGATTCACTGAACAACAGCACCTGGGACTGCCTCAGTTGCTATCATAAGTTGGCAGGCTCACATGATGTCACACTTTACAACTGGATCACTTAGTGACAGAATGACAGAGTTGGAAGGGACCTTGGAGATTTTCTAGACCAAGAGGTCTTCAAACTTGGCCCTTTTATGACTTGTGGACTTCAACTCCCAGAATTCCTCAGGCAGGGACACTGAGTTTGAAGACCTCTGTCCTAGACCAACTCAATGCTGAGGCAGGAGACCACTTCAGACAAATAGTTCTCCAATCTCTTTTTAAAAAACCTGCAGTATTGAGCACCCACAACTTCTGGAGGCAAGTCATTTCGCTGATTAATTGTTCTAACTATCATGAAATTTCTCCTTAGCTGGTTCTCAGCTGGTTCTCTCCTTGATTAGTTTCCATCCATTGCTTCTTGTCCTGCTTTCAGGTGCTTTGGAGAATAGATTGACCCCCTTCTTCTTTGTGGTAACCCCTGAGATATTGGAAGACTACTATCATGTCACCCCTACTCCTTTTTTTCATTAAATTAGACATACCCAATTCCTGCAATCATTCTTTGTATGTTTTAGCCTCCAGTCCCCTAATCATCTTTGTTGCTCTTCTCTGCACTCTTTCTAGAGCTTCAACAACTGTTTTTTACAATCCTGCCCTTGATTGATCAGTCAACAGACCAGATTGTACACAGGTTCTAAGCCAAGCTGGTCTTTTCTTGAGGACCTAAACTCTGACATACAACTTTGTTTTGGAGTCCCACCATAGCAGAGAGCAGGTCCATCAGACATTGGATGGACTTTATGCCTTCATACCTTACTGACAGCATTCCGGGCCAGTGAGATCAGTTGGCGCACCCGCAGGATGTTGTCCAAAACAGTTGCGTTGTGGCTTCTTCTGTTTTCCAAGCTGGTCAGCTTTCCCAGGAGGACTGGGAGGGTGCTTTCAAGACTTGAGACTGGACAGCCGGAATTTGTTGAGAGGAAACCCAGAAGCCAACCCAATGGGAACATAAACAAGTCACAGAGGAAGCATGTTAGTCATCATAGATTACAACTGAATTCCCAAAAGAAGTTTCAAAGTAGAGTGATGGTTTTATGGGGGAAGGACCTCATGTTTTAGGAGTTCCTCAAATATTTTATACCAGTTGCAGCAATTTATTCTTTCTCTCTCTCTTTTCATTCCCAGACAGCAGATTAACCATTTTTATGAGTTGGTTTGGCATACTGATTGGAAGTTCAGAATCCCAATATATTTAGAAACTGAAATAGTCCTCTTATGTCTTTTTGTATGAAACAGAACCATTTGATCTTCTATTTCAAAGTTGCCTTCAATGTAATTATGAGCTCTGATAATTTCATTGCTTATTTCAGATGACAACTGACATATTTCAGGACAAGACAGAAGAAAGCAAATATAGAAGAGGAGACAGAATTACACAGAAACGGGTGGTTTTTTTTGTTTTTGTTTTAAATGAGAGTGACTAAAACCAGAAAGCAGAGAATCTTTTTTCTTTCAGCATTCCGTCTCAAAAAATAATGTCACGACGCTGAGACATTGGAATAAAAATAGAAGAAAATGCATAAAAGGGAAACAAGAAAAAACGAATCTAACTGATATTTTGCATCTGACATTATTTATTTCCCGCCTTTATTATTTTTATAACTAGCTCAAGGCACTGAACATAGCTAATACTCTTTTTTTCTTCACAACACTTTTCATGCCTAAGGCAGGACTAGAACTCACGGTCTCCTGGTGACTGGCCCAAAGTCACCCAGCTGGCTTTCATGCCTAAGGTGGGACTAAAACTTACAGTCTTCTGGTGATGGGTGCAAAGTCACCCACTGTGTTTCTCCGAAAGTAAGACCTGGTCTTTCTTTTGGGCTCTGAAATAAGCACTAGGACTTACTTTCGGGATCCATCTTTATCCTTGTGAATTCTAAAGCTTCCTCCTTCCATTACGTATTCAAGATGGACAGAGTGATTAATATTTGTATGTTACTTATATGTAAGGGTGTAGGTCTATACCAGTGGTGGCGAACCTATGGCACGGGTGCCAGAGGTGGCACTCAGAGCCCTCTCTGTGGGCACGCGCACTGTCGCCCCAGTCCTAGGCCTTCAGCTGGGTTTTATAAAACCTTTTCGCTTTAGGCTCCACTGCCAGGTGCAAAAAAAAAAAATCAGTCAATTTCAACTTCTCGCGGGGAAAAAAAAAGATTTTGCAAAGTTGGAATTGATTGATTGAACTTTTTAGTCCCACCCAGTCTGCCGTTACCACTGCAGCCACGCCCACCCAATGGGCCACACCCAGCCAATGGGCCACACCCACCCGGCACTCGGGTGGGTGTGGCCCATTTGTGAGTTTGGGGTTGCAGTTTGGGCACTCGGTCTCTAAAAGGTTCACCATCACTGGTCTATACATATGTTGTATATAGTATGTTTAAATGTGTGTTATGTTTGTGTACACTTTGAGAGCAAGCAACTAAATTTCATTTTTAATGTGTGCCATTATGCCCACGTTAAAAAAATGACAATAAAGGTCTGTCTGTCTGTCTGTCTGTCTGTCTATCTAATCTATCTATCTATCTATCTATCTATCTATCTATCTATCTATCTATCTATCTATCTATCTATCTATCTATCTATCTATCTATCTATCTCTATCTATCTCTATCTATCTATCTATCTATCTATCTATCTATCTATCTATCTATCTATCTATCTATCTATCCAAAGAAACAGAAATACTGAAGGAGTGGGAATTACGCACCAGTATTCTTGACATCACGGGTGGCTTGATTCAAATCTTCACTTCTTAGATCTCCATACTGTTTTTTCCACTCGTCCAGCTTCTTTTTCATGTCACTCAGTTTCCCTTCCATGCCAGCCACTGTCTCATTGGCCTTTAAGGCTGTGTCTTTGGCCTTCTGAATTTTCTCCGATGCATCGTCTTGGAAAGAAAAGAAACAGGGTGCAATTTTTTTTAAAAAAACAAAACACAAGTTCCCAGAATTTAGATGAAAGAAATGTGCCCAGTTAAGAATGGTCGAAATCCTGCAACAGTTCGGATTCATTTAAACTCAGGAAGAACAAATGCGCAAATCCCCTAGCGCAGGGGTAGGCAACCTTGGCTCTTTTATGACTTGTGGACTTCAATTCCCAGAATTCCTGAGCCAGTCCATGGCTGGCTCAGGAATTCTGGGAGTTGAAGTCCACGAGTCATAAAAGAGCCAAGGTTGCCTACCCCTGCCCTAGCATAAAAACTGTTCTCTGAGGTTCAGAGATGATGATTAGCCAGGGGGTGAAACTCACTGCATTTCATGCAGTAATATTGTATGATCAGATCACTAGCAAAGTGATGGGAGAAATCTATTATTTATTTACTTATTTTTATTTATCCTGCGAATCACCTGGACTGCAAGGCGATCAAACCGGTCAGTCCTAGAGGAGATCAACCCTGACTGCTCTTTAGAAGGCCAGATCCTGAAGTTGAAACTCAAGGACTTTGGCCACCTAATGAGAAGGAAGGACTCACTGGAGAAGAGCCAAATGCTGGGAAAGATGGTGGGCAATAGAAGAAGGGGACGACAGAGAATGAGGTGGCTGGATGGAGTCACTGAAGCAGTAGGCGTGAGCTTAAATGGACTCCAGAAGATGGTAGAGGACAGGAAGGCCTGGAGGAACGTTGTCCATGGGGTCGCGATGGGTCAGACACGACTTCGCAACTAACAATAATACGTTTAATGAAGAGAAGGATGAGGGGGTGACACGATACCAATGTTCCGAAAGGCCAAATGCTTGTTGTGCAATGTTACAGGCAGTCCTCGACTTACAACATTTTGTTTAGCAACTGTTCCAAGGTTACAACAGCACTGAACAAAAAGTGACTTACGATCATTTTTCAGAGTTACAAGCTTTGCAGCCTCCCCATGGTCATGGGATCAAAATTCAGATGCTGCTGGGCAACTGGTTCGTACTTATGACTATTGCTGTGTCCCAAGGTCATGTGGTCCCCCTTTGCGACCTTCTTGAGAAGCAAAGTCAGTGGAGAAGGCCAGACTCAATTACCAACTGGGTTACTAACTTAACAACTGCAGTGATTCATCTAACAACTGTGGCAAGAAATGTCGTAAAAATGGGGCAAAATTCACTTAGCAAATGTCTCACATAACAACAGAAATTTTGGGCTCAATTGTGGTTGTAAGTCGAGGACTATCTTTATTGTCTTTCTGCATTTCAACACGACCTTTTTTTTTTCAAAACAACCAAGTTTCAGATAAGTGTATTGAACACAAATATGAAATGAGGGGGGAAAATGATTTTTGCATTCAGGGAAAAGAGAAAATGATAGATTGGAGTAGGATATATAATCAGTTCGCACTGTACAGTAAACCAGTTCTTGCTTTTAAAAAAGATGACATTGAAAGGAAAGAAAAGCAGGTATTTTTCAAAGCAATTTTGAAAAGAAAAACTGATGTTTGACATCAGGTAAATGATGGCTTTTCTGAATCTGTGCCATTCTGGAATTCTTCTCAGCGCGGAACGTGCTTCCAATTTTTCATCTCACTGGTCATTAGAAGAATTTTTCCAGCAATTGTGATGTATCAGGTCATCAGCTTCATGCTTGCCCTGTATCCAGAGCCATCTGTGGTCCTGGCTTGGAAATGTGTCCCTCACTTAACAAATGTCTCGCATAATGACAGAAATTTTGGGCTCAACTGCAGTCGTAAATCAAGGACTACTGTACATAATTTAGGGACCGTCCATCCAGAAGCCTGGCAGATTTACTGATATAACATCACCTGATGATTTGAACTTTCCAGATTGTTAAGAAATTTCACAGATACAGACAGTCCTCGACTTACGACCACAATGGAGCCCGAAATTTTAGTTGCTAAGCAAGGCAGTTTTTGAGTGAGTTTTCCTCCATTTGATGACCTTTTTGCCACAGTTGCTAAGCGAATCTGGCTTCCCCCACTGACTTTGCTTGTCAAAAATCGGTTGGGAAGGCTACAAATGGTGACCGCA